GCTTTTACATCTTCCCTCCCTTCTAAATATTATTCCCCAGATTGGGTTGGAATAACTTTGAATTTAAGATTATTAAAATTACTAAGAATTTAGTGTTGTTTTTTTGTTTTTGTTTTTTTTTAGTTACTTGGACATTCACATTGAGATTTATTATCAGATTAACCACAATTATTCACATATTTATTCAAGAAATTTTATTGTTCCAATTGTTTTCTTAATGCCTTTCTATTTAATTGCTTGGGCAGCCAGAATACTGAGTAGAAATAGGTCATAGTTTCTGGTTGCCCAGTGCTTTTGAAATGCTCTTCATTAGAGAATTTATGTTTTATGAATCCAGCACAGGCATGCGACATAGCCTCTGCCAATCATGTCCACCCAAGAAAGACTTCAGAAGTGAGTGATGTGAGGAAGCAAATGCCACATATCTTCTCGCTTGGCAAGGGTGTGTCAGAAGGTTCTGGTGGTTAGAAGCAGCAACTGAATCTTGACCAAAGCAGCCTTATAGAATGGTTTGGTTATTCCCACTGTCTAGTTTCCAAGAACGCTTTTCTGGCCCATATACAAATCCTGTGAACTATCTGATATTCTTTAAATGAGCGAACATATTTGGTCTTCTAGAGAAGGTCTTGTTGATAACCGTAATACAAATTCTGCATAATATTTCAGATAAATTAAATGGTAGTTTGGCTGGTTTCAGAATTCTTAGGTAATATTTCTATTCACTTCCAAATGCTGTATATATTTTTCCTTTGGGGGGGGAGATTATTTAGCATTATAGAGGAAATTTGATGCCAAACCCCCCTTTTTCGGGGGGGGGGGGGAGGCAACCTATTCCTCTCTCCCCACGGATGTTCTTAGAAAGTTTTCTCTTATTTTTGAAATTAACTAAGATGTGTCTAAATGTGGTTTTGTTAGTTCAAAGTTACTTCAGGAACACAGTGGGTTTAGAAGTTTACAAATGCCCCCAAATACAAGCAAAAGTAGAACTAGGTCTCAGACGTGGCAGGAACTGGGGTAACACCAGGAGCTAGTGAATCTCATCTTTCACTTGCTCTCTGCTTCCCTCCCATATCTGTACCCTTCTTTCTCTACTGGATGGTTTACCTTTAGTTTTAGCTTCATGATGCCAATCATACATAATAACTCTGTAAGATCTTTGAGTTCCAGCCCTCAACCACCAACCAGAAATTTCCTTTGTGACTCTTACTTCAAAATAATTGACCCAATCTTTTTTTAAACCAGACCGTACAAGTATTTGGTCACTGGTCAGTTAATGAGTCTCTCCCATGTCAGGGGTAAGACTGGGTATGTGGTTCAGTGACCAATTAGAGAGGCTGTTTGGATTCCAAAGGTGGTATAGGTGGAGCAGGTAATGTCTGACATTGTTCTGAATAGTTATTTTTCACTAATGTTGCTTTATAGTCAATGGTCACCTTTATTAGTATACATTATGAGTATTTTTAATTAAAAAATAATAACAATCACTTAATTTCAAGAAAATGAGCAAGTAGTCACAAATATAGAGAAAGAATTATCCTGAAAATCAGAGAAAAGAATGTATATTTAGCACCAAGAACAGTATTATACACATAGAGCATACAGGTTGAAAGAAGTATTAATGGCCTAACACAAACCAGAATATAGTTTTATAGATCACAGAACAGAGTAGGGGAATGGCAAGAAAATGACCTGGTGTTTACAGGAGTCAAAGTCCATAGGTTTCAACACTACAAAAGCAGTATTTTCAAGTCAGCATAATAGGAGGAAAATATGCTTATTGGAAATTTAAAAATAATTTATATACTTTATTTCAACCACCATGACTTTTGAAAAATTATTTTTGTTTGGTAAATTTTTATTATTTGACTACTCAATTCTTTCTTCAGCTCCTGGCAATATATTTTGCATTTCTGGCACTCTATTCTTTTCCTTAGATACAGAAACACCCAGTGATAACATGAATTAGATACAATGCAACTGGCTCCCATCCTCAGCAAGACACATCCATCCCTTCACTTAATCTTGTGGTAACATGATCTGTATTTGTCGATTTTTCTACTGTACTTACAGAACTACTTGATCTTTATGAGCTTCTATTTCATTATTTCCCCCTCATTAACTTTCCTTTCAGTGCCCAGGTAATTTGTAAAGCTTATTCTCAGATACCAATCTGATTTTCCATAGTGAATTGATTGCTAATCACTCCCACTGTACATTAACAAATTAAGCACATTTTCCTTTCACCTGAAATCATTTCAGTTCCTTTTCAGTTTCTTCTTATTGCAAATCCAAATTAGCTACTTGCTGAAATTATCACCTTTACAATAACTCTGTTTCAAAGGGAACGTTAGCTGATCCCTCAGACAATCATTGACTTTAAAACTGCTCATTCATTCATGTCTGGTAAGTTTGTCCACTATTGGGAGTTGAGATGGGCTATATCAGATTGCATAGCTCAATATTCCAGTTTTTCATACCTAAAGGAGAGGGAAGTTTATTCGTTGGTATAATTTAAAAACAGTAACAATTACATAATTTCAAGAAAATGAGTGAATAGTCACAAATATAATTATCCTGAATATCAGAATAAAGGTCCAGTTGTTTAGAGGAATAACCAGAACTGAAGGTAATAACTCATGGAGCTTCCTTGTTATAACTTAGGGCAGTCGTTCTCAAAGTGTGGTTCCAGACCAGCATTATCACCTGTGAACTGTAAAACTGCAAATTCTTGGATCCCACTCCAAATCAGAAACTATGGGGGTGTGACCTAGCTGTTTTAATAAGCACTTCTGGTGATTCAAATGCACTTGCTTGAAACCACTGCCTTATTGTTTGCTGCAGTCCTAAGCTAGATATTTCTCTCAACAGGCATCACAACTATTAACTAATCCCCAAAACTGAGCTCAGTATGCCATTAAAGTAACAAGCATAAACTGGGAATATCCGGTGTCATGGCAGCATCCTGTGAACTTCTAAATGTAGAATTAAGACTTGCCCCTTTACTAATTCTCTAACTAGAGGGTCTCACAGAACAAATTTCCCCCAGTGGGCAATATAGACTGATTGGCCCTTCTCCCAGTAGGTGTTGCCTACAGGATTCCTGAGTTTTCTGGCATGTGGAAGGCACCCTTCTTCTAATTTCCAACACTGGTAATATTTTGCCTTACTTGAAAAATACAGGTTTTCCTTACTTTAAAAGGGCAATTTAACTTTAATTGGCTTACATCCCATCTCTTTCCACAAGAATACTCGAAGTGGTTTATAAAAACTAGCATGCAGTAATGCAGGAAAAATAGAAAATCAGGATTGGAAGAGGAAAGAAATATGACCTATATGCACATGTCCCTGTTGGATAAGGCAGACTAAGCAAAATATAAATAGAATAAATTAGTATTATTCACAACTATTTTATTCAGATAAAATTTGACAAAAATTTAAATGTAGATATATTTCAAAGATCAGTAAAATGAGGTCTTTGCAAAGTGGTACAGTGGAGAATGGACTGTGGAGTAAAATGCCTTACTTTTTATCACAGCACTTTATTTACTGGCATTTTATTTTAAAAAAATCAGCCTCATTACTGGTGATAAACACAGGTAAGGGGTAATTAACTATATGATGTGCTTACTCCTCATCCCTCTTCCAGTGCCCCATCATAACTAAATATCCTTTTCCTTCTCCAAATGCAGAATGCATGACATTTATTATTAACAAAATTTCATTTATTCAACAAATGTATTTATCACTACCCTCACCCTCTTATCTTTTAGGACAAATTCTGGGAAGATAAATTAGTTTTGTTAATAAATGTATCAGTTTGTCTTCCTTCATGAAGAGGATTCTCCCTGCCATGTCAGGAAGGGGACACCAGAAATTGTATGTCACAACTCTACCTGTCAAAAACAAAGGTCTCCTCAACAGGCAGGGGTTTTTTAATAGTCTTGAATATCCTAATGGTATTACATCTACCTTTGCCGTTCCATGTGATCTGCATTTTCTGAGCATGACAAAGTACTGATTATACTTGGTTGCTGGAATTTTGCTATAACATACGGAGTGATAAAAGGTGTTCATTCCAGACTCAGCAGGAACAGGAAGAAGATGAAGAGACAAGACAGTTACATTCCAAGACAGGCTTGAAAGAGACTACTTGTACCTAATAGTAATCAAATAATTTTTCAAGTACAGACTTCTATTAAGAAAAAATAAATATTCGATGTGGGCCTGTTATGTTCAATGCCTAGTCTATGCTAGGCAATTTACACTGTTATTAAATGAATTTGTTTTAAATCAACTCCAGTGGAGTAAGAAAAGCAACATAAAGTGGAAAAATAGTAAACATTAGGAAGTGCTATTCACATATAAGAAAAATAAATTTCAGGAATGGTTAAGTGTCAATGCATGGAATGGTTAAATGCTAATGGTCAGCTTCAATTGTTTTTATTACAGGAGGAATTTTACTCTTAATGCATAGCATTTGAAGAAAAAATTTATATAAGCTTTTAAAAGAGGCCCTTTTGACAATTATTAATACAAATGTGAAATAAGACCCTTCAAACAAATACCAATTTCAGTAACAGTTTACATACAGCAATAATTTATTCTGAAATGTTCATTTAGTTTCCGTTGAGACACAATTCATGTCTCATTAATAAAAGAGCAGCCATCTCACCTCAAATACCAGAATATACAACAAGTTACAGCATAGCAAAAATTCTATCTACTTTCAGATAAAATCTAGTTCAGATAAAATAGTTTCATTCAATGTTTTACAATGAACACATTTTTTTGAGCACAAAAGAGTGTAAATTGTTACACTGTAGCTATCTAATGTACATCATGTGACCACAGAACTGTTAATTGAACCATCAGTTTCATTCATGCAGTAAAGCAAAGCAGGCCGGGTAACTTGTTTATCAGGAACCATATTACTGTGAATTTCACAGCCACATGATTAATTATGATGTTAGATGGACTCACAAGGACTGAAACAGAATGTATTTTTTTTTGCATAAATACCAATTTCTCCCTGATGTAAGTTTAGTCAGTTTATAATCTAGAAATGATTGATAACAGCAATATAGCATATCTTCTATCTGTAGTTTTCATTATTTTAAGACAAGCAATAATTAAATGATGATGGGATGCTACTTAAATACATGTAAAACATACTGTACAAATATACTCGGCTTTACCATTTTCTTCCTAACTATCAAGAGTGGCTCCCAAAATATGACCAGTGAAGACAAAGTATACTATCAAATATGGCTTCCAGAACCAAAACCTTCTAACAAGAATCAAACCTATTTACAAAATTTTTCAGTCTTTTAAAGTTTCATTTGAAACAAAATTTCTACATAGCAGTTGTAATTAACACATACTTTTCTTAGCTTCATTAATTCAGCTCTTTTAAACAGAGGTCACAAGGTAAGACCCAGAATGGCGCTTAGGACTTTGAGTTCCACTGGATTCTGTGTTGTCAGTTTTTGAATCTCGTTTTTTTGTGTTGTTATTCACTGGCGTGGGAATCTGAGATGGCCGGGCTGAAGTGCCGTCTGCACTGCTTTTCCTAGGGCTTGGGTTGTAATTAAAAGGAGTCACTCTGGCAGCAACAGTCCCACTAGGTGAACTGTGTTTGCTTGAGCTGCTAGAACCGAATGGGGTACGCTCAGCTATAGAACTTTCATTGGTCTCTGATGCAGGGACAGGATTACTTTGTCCCGGCTTTGCCTCAGTTCCTTTTTGGTCTGGGGCATCTACCTGCATAAAGGAGTTCAGGCGGTTTTCTAAACCCATAGTGCGTATGGGACCACTGCCATTCCCCACATTTTGTTTTCCCTGATTATCTTTCGAATCTTTACCATTTGGATTTCCCTTTTCTGAAATGCTGTCAATCACTGGGGGAGTATTTCCTGTGGGAGATCTTCCGGATCTAGGGTTGTTAATGGGACAGTCCTCAATTCTCACCCAAACGTCCTCTGTTTTCGAAACAGCAGGTGCCATTTGATAAATTAGAGTCTTTGATTCAGCACCATTTGCAGCACCTGAGGAAGCAATCTGAGAAGTACAATTTGTGGGAGAAATTTCACTTTCTTTTATTTTTCTCCATGTTCCTTTTGTAGATACTTGGTTTTCTTTAGTTTGTTTGGTTCCCGAAATACAGTTCACATGTTTTTCATCCTCACTTTTTGCTTTCTCACTGGATTCTGATGAAGCAGAAAGAATTGAAGATGAACTTCCAGTTCTTCTCCAAGTGCTTACTCGAGGAAGGGATGATGAATGTTTGCTGTGCTCACGTTTCCAGGTTCCTGACCGATTGATTGGAAGTCTGGAAGGACTTTCAGAATGGGAGCGTGCTATATCATGGCGCTTTGCTGGTCTTCCATCATTATACTCTATGGTGGGACTGAGATTAGGGGGAAGTTTTCGCCACCCACCAGACTGAACAGACGAATGTGTAGATAGAGACATATCAGGAAGGGAAGGACTTAAAACTGGAGTTTGTGCCTGGGACCTAGTGGGAGAATCTGGTCTAGAAGATGGAGAAAGAGATTCAAATGAAGCAGATTCCTCCAATTTTCTCCTTAGGGTTGGGCTGGGAGCTTCTTTGATGAAAGTTGACTGGCGTACTAATACAGGTCTCTCTGACCTATCAGATTCACTTCCACTTGATTTAGTTGAAGACATTCTAGAAAGTTCTACTTTTTTATTGGATCCATTGCTATTGTTCATTTGATTTAGTCCTTTGGAGGCAGACTCACTTCTTGGGATACTACTGCCATTCTTGGATAAACCTGTTTGCTTTGTAAGGTTCTGCTGACTCATCTGTCTGCCTGGAGATGTGTACGACATTTTTCCAGAACCCGAGGACTTCGTTGAAGCAGTACTAGGGGATGATGTCCTTGGCAGTTGAGATAATTTGTTAGGAGGACTTATTCCATTTCTACCAGGAGAAATAGAATTTCGCCCTGGAGACTGCATAGGTCTACTTAATGGTTGCTGGGTAGGTCTTGAAGGAGTGGAATCTCTAGATCCTGATCTAGATGGCCCTTTATTTGACCCAGCCTGTTGGGATGTCTGCCTGGTAACAGGGCTTAATTCTGACTTCACTGATGGCTTGGCTCCTCTAGGAGAAGTGGTGGCTGTCTGACCTTCACTAGGACTTTTGGAGGCTGGAGTCTTAAGGCATGGGCCTTTTTTAGAAACTGGACTTGTACTTGAAGAGCTATTTCGAACTCCTGGAATGTGAATCATTGTCCTACCTCGAGAGATTGAAGGCATATTAGCTTGAAGGGGCTGTTTCAATTGGCTTGAAACCTCTGAATTAGATCGAACTTTTCCAGTAATCAAACTCTTATAAACTTTTTTCCCTCCTTTGATTCCTTTATTTTCAGATTCTATCTTTTTAGCATCCAATGTACTTTTCTCCCCAGGTTTCAGAATTCGTGGACCTTTATTACTTGTAAAGGGTTTTTCTTCTTGATCAGGTGTAAGATGAAATGGTGACCCCAGAGAGATTCCTGATTTCAGTGAAAGGATGGAATCTGAATCGGATGAAGCTTGCCTAGATAAACATGCAGCAGCAGCAGCTTGATGTAAACTACTTACAATGGAATTTGCACCTTCCTGAATTGCTTTCCAATCAAAATTTTCTGAATCAGGGGATAAACCATGTTCTGAATCTGGTCTCTGTATATCTTTTAAATCAAGTGTTAAATCTTCTGCTAATATGCCACCCATATTTCTGGGGCTATGCTTTTCATTATCAGCCTTGAGCCTTGAAGGCTTTTTCTTTTTTGGCATTGCAGAACTTATACACTCCTGCAACAGGTCATCTTCAGAGTCAATACTGAGAGAACTGAGAGAACTGTTTCTTGAGAAACAAACAGGGGTATCTTCAACATGAAATGATTTAGGAGCATAACCTGAAGCCTGGGGTTTACTTGGTTCTCTCTGTGAGTCAAGGGGCTCTGTTTCTTTGATAGGTTCATTTTCTTTGTTGTTGTTGTTCTCTTGATCAATGTCACTAAGAGAACTTAGAGAGGAATTTTGAGAAAAGCAAACTGGAGTATTTTCAATAGCAAAATTCTGTAATTTTTCATCAGTTGCTGCCCCTCTGTCTGGTATGTCTTTGGATGACTGGGGGAAAGTGGACTGCTTCTGCAGCTTATTGGACTGTCCTCGGTTTATTGGATGCTTTGTAACAGTTTGTATCTTATTACCTGATTGTTGACTGGAGGTTAGTTCTGTGTGACTGGTAACTTTAGCTTCTGATTCCTTATTGTCTTTCCCCTTTCTTAATTCAGCCTTTTCCCTGGAAAGGTCAACATCATCATCATCATCAAAATCTAGAGAACTCAAAGAATCATTTCGTGAAAAACAGTATGGAGTTCCTTCAATAGGCGTGTAATGATGAGGTGAATCAAAAGTAAAACTTCCTCTGACTCGATCTTCATTGTTTGGCAGCTTATCATTGAGGTCCTTGGAATTATTTTTCAAGTTCTGTTTCTTTGAATCTTTATTTTCTGAAAAGGTTCTTTCAGCATTTATATTATTTTTTGAATCTGTATTTTTTTTTACACGTGTCCTATATTCAGTATTTTGTGGCATAGGTTTTACTGGTGAAGTAGGTTTCTTCTTCTGACCATCTAACTGATTCTTGCTAGTTCCAGATGAAGACATAGAAGCTTGTTGAACCTGGTCCATTATCTTTTTGACACGGAAAGGCTTGTGACTTTTCCCTTTGGGCATAGCAGAATTAATGCATTCTGCAAGAATATCACCTTCTTCTGTTTTACTGTCATCCAGTTCAGGTGCAGTTATAGATGAGGTTTTTCCTCTTTGAGCTTCATCCGTACTTCTGCCTTCTGTAGGAATGGTATCTCGTTTTTCAAATTCACCTGTCTGTGCCCCTGCTCTAATCCCTTCTCCAGCAGATAACTCATTTGGAGGGGATTCTATTGTTAGATCACTTAGAGATGTAGCTGTGGAAAAGTTTATAGGTGTCCCTTCTACACAATACACTCGTGGCATATCATCTCCTGGTGTAAAACTAACATGCTTTTGTGCTTGTATCCTGTTTTGTGATGGCAGAAGCTTGTACACAGGCAGTTGGCTTGGTTTTCTTGCTACAGGTGGAGGTAATTTTGAAGCACTCTGGGCTGGCTTTTTGGCTTTGCGTGAAGACTTTGTTGGCATGGCAGAAATAATACATTCTTCTAGTATTTCAATATCATCATCATCGGAATCATCTAACAGATCTTTTTCAGAACCAGTAGGTTTTTCTGCCTCTTTTTCCTGGTTTTCATCTGATTCTTCAGGCTGCTCAGATTCTGTTTCATTTGCATTGTCATTTTCCTGAACTGGAGGCATTATTCTTAATTCCACATCTTTCTGTATAAATGGCTCATCAAGGCTCAGAGCACTCAGGCTAGATGAACAAGAAAATCCATCTGGAGTACTTTCTGTGGCAAAATGTAGTAAAGTATCAGTATCTGGAAGAACCTGGACCCTCTGAACTGCAGCATTTACAGCAGCTTGCTTAGGTCCACTTTCTCTCTTTTCAGCATTAGGTACTTTTTTAGGTACTTCTTGTTTAGCTTGAACTGCTTGAGGAGGAGGAGGAGGGGGAGGAGGAGGAGGAGGGGGAGGAGGTGGAGGAGGTGGAGGAGGGGTTTTACTTCTGCTTGGTGGCATGGTTTGTCCAGGGCTATCTGGAAGATCACTGGGGCTTATAATGCCACTTACCATCCCACTGCAGGGTTCACTCTGAACAGAGCTGGCAATTGAACGACTCTCAAAACTATCAAGTGAACTGACAGAAGTACATCTGCTAAACATGAGTGGAGTCTCCTGAACATAATGCTCTGGTGGACTTTTAGGTGTCTGGGCACCACTTTTTGATGGAGATTTGGCCCCTGAAGAAAGTTCAACAGCTTTGTGCCTGGCTGATTCTGAAGATAAACCAGAAGCTGGGAGTCTGCTGGATTTGCTTCTAATGTGCTGTGACACTGTTGGAACTTCACTCACAGAACCTTCAGCAGATCTAGTTCCACTTTTTTCTTTTATTTCTGCCATCTTTCGTGTATTAGCAGAATCCGTTTCCTGTGTCCTCTGATCACATCCTATTTCATCTTCAGCTGATGACAAAGATGACAATGAACTGCACCTTGAAAAACATATTGGGGTATCTTCTACACAGTAAGTCTGTATTGTCTCTTGGTTGATAGATGGAACTTTGCAAGAGGTGGCTTTTTGAGTCTGACCACTTCTGCTTTGTGCTGAACTTGGATGGAGCTGATTCTGCCTCTTGGCATTAGATGAAGGTGTGGATGCATTCTCACTGCTTGTAGAGATATGTTCAGTTTTACTGCTTTGTCCAGATGAACTCTTTGAGAATGAAAATGATGGTTTCTGTGAGGAAGGAATGTCTGTGGAATATTTTAAACTATAATCAATAGGCTGATCCACATGTTTTTCTTCATTATATTTTATGCTATAGTTTGTTGGTCTCTCTTCTTCTTCATGCTGCTCTTCCTCAGAGTAACGTTCACTATAGTTGGTTGGCTTATCATCCTCATAGTCATCTGCTTGACACAAAGACTGGTTTACATTTTGATTAATTCCATGATTTGTATCTGAACTACTGGCTCCTCTTGACCTATATGGGGAAACACATTCTTGCTGTCCAAAATGTGGCTGGAATTTGAGGTGTTTATCATCATTGCTCTCAGTATATACGGGATAAGTTGTGCTTTGATTCCGTGATTGTCTTTGTTCACTGTGTTTCATTTCATCTTCTATTATATGTTTGGGTCTTGCCCATCTTTCATTCTGTGAAGGGCTTTGCCTTCCAGAGTTCAACTGCTCATCTGAATATTTAAGACTATAATTTATTGGTGTATCTAATTCTCCATCATTATCATCCATATGATTTGCACTATGTATTTTATGGGCTAGGTCAGCTGGATATTGACCATAGCTGCAACATTTGCTTTCATCATCTTCAGAATAAGATTCAATCGAAGGTTTCATTTGACCTCTTTTACCATAACCATCACTACTACTGACACTATTTAAACTATCATTTGAAGATCTCTTATATTCCAGTTTGGCATAAGGCATAGGACATGTCCTGTTTGAATTTTCTGACTTAGTGAAGTTGTAAGTGTTTGAATGTGTGTGAGCAGTAGAGCTTCTTCTTAGTGCATTCCTCTCATCTGTCCCACAATGTAATTCAGTAGTAGACCCGGAACTTCTGTCTTCCTGAGACGTGTGAATGGCTGATACCTCTTCCATGACTTTAGCAATCTGGGCTGCAGTAGTGGAAATCTGCAAGCCTCGCTTTGAAGAGGTTCCTGGATTTTCTGTTGTTGGGTGGTAGTTGCTTAGGCTAATTCCACGTTCTCTCTCCAAACTTCTATCTTTTTCAGAACGAGAACTATCTAAACTTCCCCTTGATGATGAGCTAGGCAACACTGTAGTATTTAAATATGGTGAAAGGACAGTCATGTTTCCAGTATTAAAATTGTCTGACCTATTCTCATCATGTCGATTGGTGTCAAACACATAGTCACCATAAAGACTTTGCTTGTGTCTTTGCTTACTACGATGAGATGTCTTGGGGCTTAAATTGTCAATATTGTCAAAAGTTTCTGATAAGTGCTGAGCATCTAATTCTGCTTCCAGAGCTTTTTGTTTCCTGACATGAAGAGATGGCAAGCTTGAACCAGGAGACATAATATTGGCATCCTTGTACTTTGCAGGTCTATTTGCCATGAGATTCCTCAAAGCTGCGGCACTTCCCATAGCAATCATTTTGTGCTTTGAGTGAATGAGGTTCTTGAGCATGCTGACTGCCCCCATGTCCCATAATGCTTCCTGGTCTTTAGGGTTTCTTGCTGAGAGATTCCACAAGGTTCCACATGCATTACTGACTATTGTCAAACTGTGAGATTTTAAGTGTTGTAATAAGGTCTGCAGGCAATTATTCTCTCTTAGAATTTGCCTGAAATAAAAATAAGATCACAAAATTAGAGTCAAATATGTTTGTAGTAACAACAAATAAAAGGATAGAATATAAATTTAAATCTAAAGATAGTACAAACTTATACTATAAATTCCAAGCATTCCACATCTCTTTTTGTTCTGTTTTAGTTCATTTAAGGTCTATTGTTTTAAAGTACTCCTCTGTTAGACTAAAAGAACTACAATGTTCATTTTAGTCTATTCTGCATTTCCTATTATGACTTGATAGCTTATTACATTTTTTTCTTGAGCAGATACATTTACTTTATTTAACATGGTGACAGTTTCCCAATTTAAGGACTATATTTGTATCATGCTGAAAGGGTTTTTGTGGTAAATTAATCAATCAATAGATCTTCATGTAGTCAAGGAGCTTGCTGTAAGCGCCTAGATCAGCAAACTGACTTTTAGAGCAATTGTTGTGTCTCTGGATGAATTCTGTGACACTGCCATCCCCCTCACAAGTTATCTCTGGAAACTGTGTGTAGTCATTATTTTTACCAAAAAAAAAAAAAAAGTTTTCAAACATTTAAAGGTAACCATAAAAACAAGGTTTGAGAATCAACATAATGAACTCTAGAACCTGAAGAGCTTAATGCAGGGTAAGCTGAAGTCAATGACAACATATTCAGCATTAGTGGACTTGAAAATTGACTGGCAAGGGTGTACAATAAGCTTTAACAAGGTCTTCTCTCAGAATTCCAGCAGACATCTGAGTGGTTATTGAGTTTAAAAAGACTTTTTTGGGCCCTGGCCGGTTTTGCTCAGTGGTTAGAGCACTGGCCTGCAGATCCAAGGGTCTCAAGTGTTTATTTTATTTTGTTTTTTTATCCTTACCCGAGGACATTTTTGCATTTATCTTCAGATAGAGCGGGAGGGAGGGAGAGAGAGAGGGAGAGAGAAACATCAATGTGAGAGAGAGAGAGACATTGAGTGGTTGCCACCCACATGACCCCAACCAGGACTGGGGACAAACTGCAAATGAGGTACGTGCCCTTAGCAGGAGCCGAACTCAGGACTCTCTGGTCCGCGGGCTGACACTCTAACTGTTGAACTAAACTGGCCAGGGCAGGTTTTAGGTTTGATTCCGGTCAAGGGCACATACCTAGGTTGCAGGTTCGATCCCTGGCCCTGTTCAGGGTCATGTGGGAGGCAACCAATCGTTGCATTTCTCTCACATCACTTTCTCTCTCTCTCCCCCTCTTTCCCTCCCTTCCACTCTCTAAAAAGCAATGGAAATCCTTGGTTGAGAATTAAAAATAAATAAATAAATAAATAAATAAATAAATAAATTTAAAAAAAGACATCTTTGCATAGTAGAAAGAACTATAAGACTTGTAATTTATACATCAAAAACTTAAAGAAAAGATGTTTACATTCTTTCTTTGTTTCTTTATTTTTTACTAAAAGTACCACAGAATCATTTTGAAAATGAGAGGAACAATACTGAATAAAATTAATATGCTATGAAAAATATTCATATTTTTGTCAGCATAATACAGAGTCCAAGTTCTAAAAATGTGTGCCCTATATCTGAGGTGCTCTCTTAGGTATCACAACTCTAGTAGACTGGATGAATGGCTGTTGGCTAAATAACACTAGGGTTACTGATGTTAAGAAACCATTAGAAAAATGTAAACCATTGTACTCTCTGGATTATATCCATAGGTTTTGTTTTTGTGACTTTTCTAGATATCTTTATGATACTATGAACTTTTGTTAGAATAAATATACTAATGAGTAAATTAGAAATTAATAGTTATTTTTTCACCACAATAAATACAATTTGGCTTAGAACTTGCATAGTAACACAAAACAAATGGGTCTTTTTGAGGAAATGAGTTCTACACTAATTTAATTCTACACTAATTAAAAGTAATATAAAACTATGTATTTACCTGTGGTCCTCATTTGTGGCTATCAAGCTGGACACATTCCGTAATATCCCACCTCCACTTTCAATAATGGCTAACGTATTTGTCTGGCTCCGGTAAGTTAGAGTGCCAACCAAAAATGCAAGCGCACCATCTACAGCACATATATCAGCTTTATTCTCAGTGCAATGTGCTGACAAATTCCATAAGGCACTCAATACGCTTTTGAGGGTTGATTCCTATTAAGAAACAAATTATGTGTCATCTAATTAGAGTTGGAATTTGTCTCTCATAACTTCTATGTTTACTTCTTTTGAGTAAAGTTTATCTCCCCTGTTGCTCACCCCTCACTGGTAAATTATTAGAAATTCCCCATTTAGAAAAACTTACATAAAATAACGAATGGAGGGAACTTGTCATTGATATCCCCACAAAATAAAAGCACAGTATCAAACTAATAACCTTTTTGAAATTTATTCTAAGTGTTTAGATGGTATACACATATCTTACAAGAGCTTATATCAGAATATGAACAGGACTGATGTGCATGCTGAAAAGATAACATTATCAGGATAAAAGAAACTATAAAACAACAACAACCACCCTCTATATGCTGATATGGAAAGATATCTAAGAAGTAATTATTGTATGAAAAAAGCAAGTTGCAGAGCAGTATGTACAATATTCTGGTTGTGTAAAACACACACATATATATTTATAAAAGTAACAGTACAACATATTAAAAAGAAAACACAATTCTTAAACCTCCCAAACAAAGTAATCACAAAACCAGAACTCCCTGGTATACAATATTATAGTAAGCTGTCAACTTGTAACGGCCACAGAAACACTCTGTATATACAATTAAAGACATTTGGGTAAATCCTGCCATGACCCTGATGCAGTCTTTCCTCTTACTACAACTCAATCAAGGAATAAACATTAATTAAAAATCTACTCTGTGACTATCACAATTAGAGGTACTCCAGAGGATACAAACACAGCAAACTGATACCTGCTTGAAGATGCTAATAATTTACTTTGGGGGATGTAAAAGCATACTTCAAAAAAGCAAAGTGCTCTAAAGGAAAGATAGTTGCCACCTAAATTTAATAAAATAAAATACTTCACGGAGGAGAGCAGCTTAATAGACCTGTACACTCAGAGACTGTTTCTCCTGGCAGGGGAAGTAGAATGAGGAAAGGCATGGAAATAGGAATCAGAAAGGAAGAACTGAGGAACAGAAAGAAGACAGAGAGGAGATCAAAGTCCATTTTGGGGAATAGTGGGAATTAAGGCCAGAGAGGTCAAAGAAGGTCATGAATGTCACAGCAAACATTTTGGGCCTAATCTACTAAATAGTCACTGTATTCTCTTCATCAGGACATTAACTGAATGAAACAATCTAGGAACAACTTTTATGAGAAGGCAGAGAAGTGCTTTCACCAATCGAGATGTGAGAAGGGTAAGATCTCAATTTTATGACTGACATAAAGGTGGGACATTCAAAGTATCCCGAGAACAGAAAAAACAGCAAGAGTTTAGAGGAGTGAGCTTTTAAATTTTTTAAAAATATGTTTTTATTGATTTTTTAGAGAGAGAAAAAGAAACATCGATGTGAGAGAGATACATTGATTGGCTGCCTCTTGCATGCCCCCAACTGGGCATGTGCCCTGACCAGGAATCAAACCAGGACCTCAGTCCATGGGATGATGCTCAATCCACTAAGCCACACTGGCTGGGTTAGAGGAGTGAGGTTTTAAACTGCAATTTTCCCAGAGGGAAAATTGAAGGTAGGAAAATAGTAGCTGCTCCCTACCAGACTACTTGTAGAGGGATGAGAGTTCTGTTTCAAAGAAACTTTACAGTCAGAAATAGAGGGAACAAGAAGAAATGGTTAGAGGCTGAAAGGACAGGTGGCAAAAATTCAATAAGGTGTGTGATCGAAAAGAATCAAATATAGGTGTAAGCAGAAAATAAAAACGCAAGTTAACGTATGAATCTAGATTTCGTTACAAGCAAAATTAGAAGGTATACCAGTTAAGCAATGGATCTTGGTTGTTACAGGAAAAAGAGAAACTAGGAATTATAACAAATAATTTTTTTAATTTTCAAAAAACAGGGCTTCCTATAGATAGTTGAAACATAAGAGGCTTTCTTCTGTCTATACAGTAGAGACGATATAAAAGACAAGAGTAAGGGACTAACATCTCTGAGTGAACAGCGACACTTGGGGCAAGACTGCAGGTGAAGGAAAGGTTCTATTGTGTAGAAGAATAATAAGCCAGCTGAATGAAGTCAAAATGATGCAATATATGGGAGATATGAAAGGTAGTTTTGATTTTCTTGGTCATTAGTAATAAATGAAATTGAGGAAAAGATGATAAATTGAGAAAAAGAATGTTCATATTGACTGTTGCACTGAATGTAGAAAGAGGGAACAAATAAATTTTAATACTGCTGACCAGAAGCAGGCCCAACCCAGAACTGGGTATCATAAACTTCTCATGGGCTAGTCTATCCAAGGTTGGACTTGCATTTAACATTTATACATGGCCCAGCTGGTGTGGCTCAGTGGTTGAGCGTCAACTTATGCACCAATAGGTCACCATTTCGATTCCCGGTCAGGGCATATGCCCAGGTTGTGGGTCAAATATCCAGTGGGGGGCATACAGGAGGCAGCCAATTGATGTCCTCTCATCGATGTTTCTATCTCTCTCTCTCGAAAATCAATAAAGAAAAATAAAAAAATAAAATAAAATTTATACATGAATTTAGGGAGAAATGATCTTTAAAACACTACTCTTCCATTATACGAACTAAGTACGTCTTTCCATTTATTATGGTCTTCTATGTTCCCCAGAAGGATGTTTTTTAAAAGCTTTTTTGGTTTGTAGCAATCAGTTTGTATGTAGATCTCAAAGGTCCTTGAGAGATAATAGTCATGAGCTATTCAGCAGCAGTACAAGCTCCTTTAATACAGACGAACCGTGAAATCTTTCTGAAAATATGCAGGGTTGATTAATTAGGACTTAAAGTGTGCACAGTACTAAATTTTTTTGGTATAACTTTACTGAGTTATAACTGGAGAACAATTAACTGCATACATTTCAAGTGTGTAATTTGATCACTTTTGATATATGTGTATACCATGAAACCATCACTCCAATCAAGAAAACAAACAATTTATCTCATTCCCTCACATTGACTAGGAACTCCTTGTAATCCATCCCAATCCCAGGCAACTGCTCATCTGTTTTCTGTCATTATAGATTACTGCATGTATCAGTAGTTCACTCTTTTTATAGCTGAATAGTATTCCATTTTGGATATTCCCCAATTTGTTTACCCATTCACTTTTTGATGGACATTAGAGTTATTTCCTATTGTTGTCTACCACAAGTAACATTGCTGTGAACATCTGTGTGTGAATGTAAATTTTTGTTTCTCTTGGGTAAATATTTATAAAGTAAAAGTCTGTGTTGTAAGGTAGGTGTATGTTTAACTTCTAAAAACACTGACAAATATTCTCCAAAGTGGTTATACCATTTTACGTTCCCACCAGCAGTGCATGAGAATTCCAGCTGTTCAACATCCTTGACAAAACTTGGTCAATCTTTAAATTTGACCAACATACCATGTGTAATGGTATCTCATTGTAGTTTTAATTTATATTTTCCTTGATGACTCATGTTGTTGAGTATCTTTTCAAGTGCTTATTGGCCACTGAAATATCTTCTTTGCTACAGCATCTATCTGTACAAGTGTTCTGCCAATGCAGTAGTGTTTTAAAGGTATCTTTATGCAGGCCCTAAGTACATTTGAATATTATCTTTATAACCAGTTATTTAGTTAAATATATTTATTTCAAATAATTTTCAGTTGATTTTATTGGGGTTTCCAGGTATAAAATAATTTAGCAAATATACATAAACAAACAAACAATATAAAACAAAACTTATTGCCTTCTCGTCAAGAAAATTTTAAAGAAAAAAATGTAGGCAATGGTTCTAGGAGGACTGGTGGGGTGAAAAGAAGCCTGGATTAGCTAAGAAGACTTGCTTAGTCCCTCTCAAATTTCAAGTTTAATTCCTTTTATAAACAAATTATTAATTGAGGATTCCTCACTCTTGAGTCTGATTACCTTTTGCTATGCTGACTACGAAAATTAGAGGACTTTTGGGGGATTGAGATTTTTAAGAGCAAAGAGGCTATATACTTATACCAATATTCTCAATTGTGGGTGATTCTGTCCCCCTCCATTCTGGGGGACATTTGGTAATATATGGAGGTATTTTTGACTGTCATGACTGAGGGAGTGGATGTACTGACATCTATCTAGTGAGCAAAGGCTAGGAATACTGCCAAACATCCTACAAAGCATAGGTCATTTCCCCCAAACAAAGAATTATGTGGGCCAAGACATCGATCGTGCTGTGTATGAGAAAGCCTGACCTGCAGTAGGCCACAGTACAACCTTTTCCATCTTAATACTTTAGGAGTTTGAAGCAGTCTAGACTAAGGATTGGTGAGATAAGTAAATCAGAAATTAGGGAATCTCAGTGGTGGAAGAGGGTGGCAAAAAAGTATCTAAAGATGAAATCCACAGTATAGCACTAAATGTTTTCAAAGGTACCTTTTTAACTTCCAAAGCACATTCCATCAATGCTTTCACACTTCCAACTTCACGCAATGTCTTTTTACTATTTACATCTGCTCTCCAAGACAAATTCCTCAAAACACTTGCAATAACCTGTAAATGAATCAATTTTAGAATATTTGTATTAAAATGATTTATACTAATTGTATTTTTTTGTTTTATAATGCTAGAGGTAAGAGTAGAAATCTATTAAGAAATTCCTCCTAAATGCTAATATAGTGTCAAAAGGAATTCCTACAATATAATTATTTTCCTTTATTCTCGTGTTAATGTAACCGTAATTTAAACATGAGATACTAAATACTGAGCCACAGCTTAAATTAACCTAAATCCAGATATTCACCAGCTGATATTCTAGAAAAAAACACTTGAAATTCTAAGTAGTACCTGCTGTAAGTCCTCACTCTCAGATTTTAGTTGGGCCACCAGTGCTCTCATGCAGCCTTTCATAGAGCATAGTGTAGCCTGAAAAAATTACATAGGGAAAGAGGGTCAGTAACAAGGCAACCTGAAGTTGTGCTTCATTTCTGACTACGAAACTTCAAATACAGTTTTAATAGTCCCATTTTAATTACAGCTAATATTTTACTCATAAAACATTTAGAATAAGATTACATAAATGAAAGACAAATACTCTCCTAGTACTTTGCTATCTGTTCTTCTCTTGGCAAACTGGAAAAATAAAGTGAATAAATGATAAGAAACGAGAAGCAAAGGGCATTAACGTAAGGCCTCTTATTTGGATACAACCAATATGCGTGTAACACTTGCACTGATCATCAGGATTTTCAGATTTTTTGCAATTAGATAATCCATTACTAAGTTCTATCTTTTGCTTTTGTTTAATCACAACACAACCAATGAATAAGGATGTACAATGGGATGTGAAGCAAAGGTTTTTATTTGTATTTAATGAGGAGAATGACAAAAAGAAAATCAGTGAAAAGTAGTTTGTATGAAAGTAAACTAACTCATACCTGAGATGTCTTAAGAAATGGATCTTATAAAACATACCTTATTAGCTACATCTCCAAAAGTCAAGTTTGTCAAAGCCATTCCAGCATATCGTCTTAATGTAATACTGTAGTGGTCATTAGTAAGCCCATACATTTCACAGTCCACTTGCAATAATTCTGCAATGGCCTGTAGTCCCCCTAATTTAAAAAGGGCAAGAGGAAAAAGACAATAATCTAAAATAAAACAAATTGGTACCAAGTTTATAACTTTAATATTAGGAAAAAAATCTCAAAAATGAAAATACATGGTTTAAATTTGTCTTAAGAATTACAAGCTACAAAAACTATTATAGGACTTTTGTGTAATACATTTATAAAGTGCAACTGACAACTATTCCAATCTCTGCCAGTTCCTCCACCCTCCAGCCCTTGCCTTTACTGAGTGAAATGAGCATTACACTCTTTTTACTATACACACACTGTTATCTTGTCAATGACGGAGAAGGCTATTTTTAACACTAGGATTTCCTCAATGTAACCAGAAAAGGTAATTTATTTTTAGTATTAGGACTTTATACTCTTCATTGTTGCACACTGTGACCTAATTACTTAATATTTTTTACCTGCTGAATAATTATCCTTAGTAATACTAAAAGTAAATGAAATTGTGCATGAAGCAAAGCTTTTTTTCATGAAAAAGAATTATCTGTTCAGCTTGCTACTACATTCTATAAAACTACTTATTTATTATTTTTTAAAAAGTACTTCTCTTTGATACTCACAGGTGTCAAATACCAACTATCCTAGGATTTAGTATTTTCTTTCCCCTTGATTCCCACCACTGGGTATGCTCAACAATGCCCACAGTGGTCAACACTAGGAAAGCAAGGAAGAAAATGATGAGAAAAGAAAGGGAAAGACATAAAGAAGGGGTAGTAAAAACAAAACAAACAAAGGTGAAGCAAAACGGCGAGGGAGTGAACAAAAATAAAAATGCATATGGAGGCTATTCAAAATATTATTCATCAATAATATTAATCATTGTGGGAATGAGAATATTGTTTTGTCACAGAGAAGTGGTTTGGACCAAAAAAAAAAAGGGATGAATATAAACAGATAATGCTTGGATACTGCAAGTCTAAAAGGTTAGTTCATTAATCTGAGAGAACCTGTACATTAAATATTTTTGCAAATAATCTAGAAAGGTCAGTATGTAGAAGAATCTGCAAGTTTGCAAAGCAGACAACATTCTATCTTGGGTCAAGAGTTTCAGGCCAGAGGATTTAAGTATAGGAAGATTCACACAAATTTTTATGATTAGCAGAAATGACAGATGAATTTGAATGTAGATAAGTGAACATCAATTTGGTTAGGGAAAATCCAAATTATATTTAGGAAGATTTCCTTCAACTACCCTTCCTGATAGAAAATATATAGCAGTGAACAAAATATAGTCACTGTCTTTACAGAGCTTATAAATTAGAGCTAAGATAGATACGAAACAACTCATTAAAGTGTGTTGGATTGTGTAAGTACAGCGCAAGATAACAGGTGGACTTGACTTAGACTGGGGAGATCAAGAAAAAGGCTGAGGAAAAAAGTTTCAGTTGAGACTTAAATAATGAAGGAGTATCTAAAAAGGTCGGGCAGGAATAATGAAGCATTTTAGGCAGATGAAATAGCATGTGCAAAGGCCCGAGGGCTTGAAATATACAGCATCAAGGTTACAAGATGAGGCTATAAAAAGGGGCAGAGGTCAGACCATGCAAGACTTTAAGTGCCACACTAAAAACTTTAGGCAGGGGAAGGAATAATTATATGTGTGTTTTAAATAGAGTCTTATGGTTACACAGTACAGAATGGGTTATGACCGAAGTTGGGACACAAATAAGACAAAGTACTGCAGAATAGATGATGGTGGCTTGAACTGGGGATGAAGAGAAAAGCAGGGATTTGAGATGTATTTAAGCAGAATTAAATCACTCAGTTACTAGATGTAGGTCATAAGGCTACCCTTATGTCTTCCAAGATTCTGGCTTGAGTGACTGGGTTTATTGGAATGCCATTTTCTGAGAAAAGAAACCCTGGCGAGGGAGAGAGAGGCATGGAGGGAGGAAAAGAGGGAAAGAGAGGCAGGGAGGGAGATAGATAGATCTGGGGATAGAGGAGATAAACATTTCAACTTTGGCAGCTGAGTTAGAAATGTCTATAAAATCATCCAAGTAAAGATGTCAGATTGATAATGTATTTAAATCTCAGGAGAAAGAACTTGGATTAAGATGTAAATTTAAAAACACTAACTAAAGTGGAGGATACTGCCTAGGGAGAGAGGAAGAGAGCCTTGGATAAAGCTTTGAAGAATTCCACCATGTGATGCTTGGATATAGGAAAAGGAGCCAGTAAAAGAAATGAATTGTGACCCAGAAAATTGACCTTGGGGAGGGAGGGAGGGTCACTGTTGACCTGAAGGCAGCGTGACCCTGTGTACTGATGAGATCATAAAAATGTCGAGCATTACAAAGCAGACTATGAATACCAAAACAAAACATACTATGCTTTGGGCCTACATAAAATCCTGCCTCATGTAGTGATATCTGTGATAAAGATTCCAAGAAGGCACTAAATGAGCAAAGAGCTGAGTACTCTTGTATGGAAAACGAAAAACCTTAGGATTTGATTCTGGAAAAAAAAAAAATTAAAGAAGGATATGGCCACTGTGAGTAAAATTACAAAGAACATGGCTAATGAAAAAGAACATTCAATAGAATTTTGGATATCAGATAAAACAGAGAGCCCTTTTTGTTTTCAGGCAAATTAAAAATATGATGGAAATTTATGACTGTTAGAATTAAAAATAGGTTACCCTGAGAAAAATCAGAATGTTTCAAGATAATACAAAGCTAATGAACATGCCCTTCCATATTTTTCTAAGTGCCTATATTAGAAAATAGGGGTCCAGATGGACTAAATAGTACCCAATATGGTATCTTATAACATTATAGATAGAAGGCCAACAGCTTCCGGTGACTTTCAACAGAATCTTTAATTAAAAAAAAAAGATAATAGAAAGATGATACAATTTTTAAAGTGTGTGTGTGTAAATTTGGTTTAGATAGTCACCATTAGCATAAAATGCCCCATTCTAAAATAAATATTAGGGACCCAACATCAATATTCTAAATATTGGTGTTTAATAAAATTTCCCGATCAGAAGAATTACCTGAGTCACTTATTAAGTTTGATTTCCTAGGTTCCCCCTCTGGAGATTCTGTTTTACTAAGCCTGCCTGCTATAGGGCCAGAAAACCTACATTATTTGACAAATACCTCTAGTGCTCCTTATGATCTGGTTTTGGAAATACTACTCAAATAAACCATGAGTTCCTTGAAAGTCAGGACTATGTCTTAACCTTTTTTTATATCTAGTACCTAGCAAAGTTTCTGGGACAGAGCTAAGAATGATTAAATTAGTAAAATATATCACTAATGTTATAGTTTAAAATTTGCAGTACTAACAGGTACAAACTTATATGACCCTGATAGATGTAGGATCTTCTTGTACGGACAAATGATAGTCCCAGATGACTGGGTTTAGGAATTTCCCTTCAACTGTTTGGGACTTTTTCCCTCATCCCTCATAGTCAGATACTTTGTGCTGTCTTACTCTATTTCTCCACAATCCACAAACCTTGATCCTTCTTTTGTTCCAGTGCAAATTCGGAGGCTAGGAATGAGAAGAAGGTACTCCTCTGTGGCTATGTCCCCAGCAGTCACACCCCAGAGGCCCCATCCTGCTCCTCACCTGAAAGCCCCTGCCCTAGCTCCTGTGATGAAATGCCCCGGGTAGCCTTCCTACCTGAAGAAGGAAGAGGAACAAATACTGAGTCTACGTTTTACTTTGAAATTCAGATGATTAATGTGTCAGTCCTAGTCTACAGTCCATTGGAACATAGGGACATTTATAGAAAAATCTTTGCGTTAGCTTAAACTTGGATTAATTTTCCTGTTTATTCATTATTTTTATCCCCTTCCCATTATTACTAGAATTTAAAAAAATCCCAACCCAAACATAACACTTTCACAAATGTTGAGACTGTATTGAGGAGGGGAGAACTCATAAGATTAAATTCAGTTCCACAGGAGGCTGAGGGAGGCAATGGGGGAGGCAAAGAGATTCAGGTGGGCCAACTGCCAGGGCCTGTGGGAAGAAAAGTATGGCTAGAGGACAGGCCTGAAGTCAGAAGTACATAGCCTCCCAAAGGAATGACTAAAGGAAATAACACTCAGTTAGGTTGTTCAGGTTCTCATGACTTTGTCACTTTTAAGATAAATGATGAATGATAATGATGAGGGTGACAGGAAAACAAAGTGGGGGCCGGAATGCAATGTAACATAAACAGCACAAAAAGCCAGGGCACAGCTACACTAAGATGGGAACTCAGTGTACGGTCTTGCTTGTGGCAACACTAGAGAGATCCAGTTCACATGAGGTGGGTCAGCAAGATGCAATTTATAAATACCACATGTGCAAAATGAACCTAGAAATCAAAGAAAAACCGTTACATAAAAAATGTGGTGCACAAATGCAGGTTATATAAGGATTAGAGTGATAACACATACCTAAAAGAGTAATCCTTCCAAAATTAAGGGAATATTTCTGATTTAAATTAGAGCATAATGCTTTTCCATAGTAACCAATATCAAAGATACCATGCTGCTTATCATGAAGATCCCGTAAAGGACAGATAATCACAAAGATAAATGAGAATCGTAATACTAATTCCTTCTGGTGTCTCAGTTCAGGAACAATGAAGTAGCTCCACATTTCAAAATAATTCAAATGATCCTTCCTGTCAATTGTCACATAGGGTCTACCTTGGCAACAGGGGCAAGGAGTGCCCCATTTAGTAATTTTTTTCAATCTAAGACTGAGATTTTGAAAATCCAAGTTAGTTTAGGGTAGCAGTTTCTGTTATTTAGAGCCCTTTCTCCTCTGGAAACCAGATTATAATCATTTGCTACAAGGAGGAAGCAGCTGGTAATAGAAGTTAGTGGCCTTATATTCCACTTCAACAATGATGAAGTATTTAGTATTCTTCTATGGCATTAAGAAACATTTTTGTCTTACCAAGTTCATTCATTGCATGCCTATGCTCTTCATCAAATGAAAGTTTCATTAGAACACACACAGCAGGACAGATTTGATGTTCAACAGGAGCTGGCACTAAAAAATAAAATTGACATAAACCATAATGCTTTACTTTCTTAAAAATACATAGGGCTCACTAACTTATTCCTAATGCATAGTTTAATGAATCAACAAATATTTGCTGAATATATATTATAAACATGGAAAATAAAATATGACTAAAGGGCTTTTTTTGGTTCCATAAAAATGTTTACCACTTATCTGCCCTTGATCAAGTCTGTTAGAGTAAGTCCCTTGCAGGTTCTTGATATAACTCAAGTAACTTAAAATTATGTCTACTATATGAAAGAATAAAACTGATTAATTTCATTTATAATTTCTATTTAAACTACTGTTGTGAGTGTGTGTTAGAAGCGTACCACTTCGTACAAATGTAAAGAAACTGAGTAGAAGCCTAGCAGAGGAAGTTTATTTACTATACTGACATACTAGATAGTAAAAATTTAAAGAAATGGTATCCAAGAAAATGTACCTCCACATAACCTATGCATAAGGTTTCAAAGCGTATCTGAAATAAAACTTAAAAAGAAAGTTTATTTTTCAGAAGTAATAATATTAATTCATTCTACTTAACTTTTTTGAGGTTATTAAGAGTACAAAATGCAAGTCATTACATAATTGTGAATAGCCAAATAAAAGAATCAAGAAAGACAATGTTCTTCCAGTAAACTATCTTATAATTTTTTATTCCTAGACAAACATATAAAGGACTATTTCTTCTGGCTTTTTCATTCTTGAATTTTTTACATTTAAAATAAATTCACCTTTATAACTAAGCTAAAAAAAAAAAAAATCTGCTAAAGTTTCACAGGTCATGTTCTTACCATCACTCCCCAGATCCTGTTTCTCAAATCAATAGGTTGATACAAGTTCTTTCTGTGTATGTGTTCTTAGGTGAAAGGAAGGTCTTACCTTACATACTTACTGCTTTTGGTTCTTGCTACAGGAATGAAGTAAGTTATGTCCCCAAGCGTCCCAGCTCCCATGTTTCCTGCACCTGAGGGAGAGGTGCTGGTGGCCAAGGGTCTCTCCCTAAGTAAAAAGCTGGGTGGCTAATCACCCCTAGCAATAGGGGCCCGTCGCCTGGAGCAGGATGGTGCAGTAGGAAGGGCACTGAGTTGAGAATCAGAAAATATGGCCTGCCCGGCCAGTGTGGCTCAGTGGTTGAGCATCGACCCATGCACCAAGAGGTTACCGGTTCAATTCCTGGTCAGGGCACATGCCCAGGTTGTGGGCCTGATCCCCAGTGGGGGGCATGCGGGAGGCGGCCAATTGATGTTCTCTCTCACTGATGTTTCTATCTCTTTCTCCGTTCCTCTCTCTAAAAATCAATAAAGAAAAAAAATAATAAATAAAAAATATGGCCTCTGTTCCTGGTTCCACCATTTACTAGCTGTGAGGCAAATCTTTTAGCCTTTCTGAGCCTCAGTTTCTTCATTTGTAAATGAAGATGATAATACCTCCCCTTACTATTTCCCAAGGTTGTTGTGAGGATCAAATAACAACAGATATAACAGATCTGTATCCACTGAGTAGAGTAATATGCAAAAATAAAAGATAGTAGCTTGATCACTAATAGCTGAAAAAAACTTATATAAAGTTACTTTTCTGAACTTCATCTATAAAAGAGATGGGTAACATAATTACTCAAGATCTTTCTAGATCTACTATGCTATGACTCTATAAGTCTCTCTTGATTTCCTGTTCTTTTATTGGCTGCATAGTAGTGCATATAACATTTCCCTTTGCTAAATTTTTCTTACTTTTAGACTTAAAAAACAGACTTAAGCTTTAAATTATGTTAGTAGTGTAGATGGCTAATATGCATTTCTCCTTCCTATTCATAAAGACAACATACTAACTAATAAAGTTTTCTTTTTAAAAACTTTTTTTTGTTAACACGCACTATGATGTACACTACAGGGAACATACTTGGATTTTTGTCCTGGTCCATGCCTTGTTCATGGGCTTCCTGCCACTCCCAACAGGTTTCACAGTAAGCTCGTATCTGTTCCAAAAGATGAAGGACTCGGATTTCACGCCTGCCTCTCTTGTCATCAGGCTGTGAGTGAATGATGTTGTGGAGTGCTGCACTGGCCCTGGCCCGAGCCTCTTTACTGCCCCGGGAATTTCCCAACAACACAGAGTCTTTGTCATTGCCATGTAAAAGCTGGATGAGGAGAGGAAGACATCCAGACTGCCGCATGGATATACAGCTGTCTTGGGAGCTAGACATAGCTAGCAAAGTTCGCGACATATCATCCTTATCATGAGTACCAAGCATTGACAACAATGAATACACCATTTCCACCTGTGGGCCAAATGAGTTTAGAAACAAAATTATGACTTTAATATCCAAAAGCCAACACCAATGAAGTGATGAATGGAATATTTATTGTAACTCATTACAAAAAATCCTTTCCAGAATGAAGTAATGAATGTTATTTCAAAATTCATATAATAATCACCAATTTGTTTATATGAGTAAATAACAGTAGTGGTAGTATACAGTACTGAAGAGAAAGAAGGTTCTTAAACACTTAAATTGTTATTTATCTGGATCAGCTGGTGATAATCCATTGATTATAATGAATTAAAAACAACTAATTTCACTCACATACACAGTGAGAAAGGTGGTCTATCTAAATTCTTTGGACAATTAAAATTTTTGTTTTACTTCTTTTAATCTACAACTATAATTAATAAATATAAAACATTTTTCAGTCATCATTCTTTACTAAGATTCCTCCCTTACACATATAAAAAATACTCTCATAAAAAGAATGCCATGATCACGAGTACAAAGCCAAGATTCTTATACAATTTTTTTTAAGCAACTGCTAAATATCAATTACTCCCTGACAGTAAAGTCTAAGGATTTACTTAGAAGCAGATTAGAAACAGGAAATAGTACCTTTTTTAAAAATCCTAACCCAAGGATATGTTTTTAATTGATTTTAGAGAGAGGGAGGGAGGGGGGGACAGAGAGAGAGAGAGAGAGAGAGAGAGAGAGAGAGAGAGAGAGAGAGAGAGAGATACATAGGTCAGTTGCCTACCGTATGTGCTCCAACCTGGGAACGGCCCCACAACCTGGGTATGTATATCGAGCCTGACTGGGTACCGAGCCCACCACCTTTTGGTGTACAGGACGATTCCCCAACCAACTGAGCCACACCAGCCAGGGCTGTACCCTGTTATCTTAGACTGTGATCAACTTCATTTTAAAGCTCAAAATTATTACAGAAAAGTAGAGAGTATTATATAAAGAATGTGTCATGTCTATAATCAGTGTTCTTAGCTTCTCGCAGCGCCTTGGAGACATTTTTCGTTGTCACAACTATAGGAGGAAGTGCTGTGGGTGCCTAGTGGGTACAGACCAGAGATGCTGCAGAACATACTACAATGCAACAAAGAATTACCCAATCAATAGTGCTTAGACTTGGAAACTAAATGTGTAAACACACATTACTCTAGATATAATAGTTTTAGGAAGGCAGTGTAGAACTGTGGGTAAATGGGCTTTCAAATTCTGGCTTCACCCCTTACAAGTGAGCTGTGTGACACTAACAGGTTATCTGATTTCTCTGAGCCCCTTTTCTCAGTTGCAAAATGAAGGAATTAACCTATTTGGTTAATTCTATTAACCTATTAATAGGTAATGAACCTATTAATAGGTCAATATTAATTAACCTATTAATCACTTCATTTAACCTGTGAAAATTAAATGAAGTTATTCATATATAGAATAGTAGTCGGCATTAAAAAATGTAGGGAGGTCTTATATGCATAAATTACTTCAAAAGGAAAAGGCATTCTAGCTGCCAGTTTTTATGCAACAGTAATGTTCAATATTAGAGATTTTCTTTATAGTAAAAACTATGTATTGATGTTGGATAGATCTGGGGCTGAATTCAAATTTAATTACACAATAGCTGCCTGAATCATTTTTGTATCTGTTTTCTCATTTAAAAAAAGAAACAAAAATATCTCACAGGTTTTTTGAGAAGATCAGAGATAATGTACATACAACTCCTAGCACAGGTGCTAGTATTCCAGAGGTTCTAAGTAGTAGCTATTGTGAGTTATTAAAATAATTAAGCCTTATATTAACAATATTATGGACTACTCTGAAATTAATTTATTAAACCACCATTAGTTATTTCAGTAGTGCTTTTCCCAAGAGCCATTATATTATTATTATTATTTTTAATCCTCACCCAAGGACATTCTTCCATTTATCGTTAGAGAGAGAAAGGGAGAAAGAGAGAAAAATCAACGTGAGAGGGACACATCAACTGGTTGCCTCCCGCACGACCCCAACCAGGGCTGGGGACGAATCACAACCAAGGTATGTGCCCTGGGCCGAAATCAAACTGGCAACTCATTGGTCCCTGGGCCAACGCTCTACCACTGAGCCAAACCAGCCAGGGCAAGAGTCATTATATTATTAAAATAAAGAAAGTATACAGAGTATGCTATGAAAACAATTTATGTAAGTAGACTCAATGAAAAAGATATTATTTAGTAATACTAGAATTTCATACTTTGTCAATATACTATTAATGTCTCTGGCTTTAAAACAATAATAAAATAATTACTGTCTTTTCAAACACACTATCCCCAAGTCTTAAGATATATGTATTTTTAATCCTCACCCGAGGACTTTTTTTTTTTTTTTGCATTTATCTTCAAACAGAGCTGGAAGGAGAGAGGGAGGGAGGGAGGAAAAGAGAAAGAGAAACATCAATGTGACATCAACTGGTTGCCACCCACACAACCCCAACTGGGGCCAGGGACAAACCTTAACCGAGGCACGTGTCCTTAGTGGAAACCGAATCCAGGTCTCTCTGGTCTGTGGGCCAACGCTCTAACCACTGGGTCAAACAGGCCAGGGCTCAAGTCGTAAGATATTTACTAACATCTTAGAGGCCCTAAGAAAGCTGACTTATCAACACTGGATAATATTCAATTTCAGTAAGTTTTCCATCTACTTAAATATTTATTAAACACTCATTATGTGCAGGCCCTGTACTAGATGCAGTACATGATACATAAAAAACTTGCCCAGCCGGTGTGGCTCAGTAGTTGAGTGTCGACCCATGCACCAAGAGGTTGCCAGTTTGATTTCTGGTAAAAGCACGTGCCCAGGTTGTGGGCCAAATCCCCAGTGGGGGGCACACTGGAGGCGACCAATCGATGTTCTCTCTCCTCGATGTTTCTATCTCTCCCTCTCCCTTCCTCTCTCTCTAAAATCAATAAAGAAAAAAAATTAAAACAAACAAAAAACCAGTCCCTGATCTCCAAGAGTTTCATGCCAACTGTAGTGATTCAAAGAAGAGAGAGAGACTACATGAGGAAGTGAGAGGACAATGGGAACCAGAAAATCTTTCGTAAAGAAGTAAAGCCTGGTCCTGGCCAGTGTGGCTCAGTAGTTGGAGCATTGGCCCGTGCAAGGGTCATGGGTTCAATTCCTAGTCAAGGGCATGTACCAGGGTTGCAGGTTCAATTCCCAGCCCTGTTGGGGCATATGCAGGAGGCAACCAATTGATGTGTCTCTCTTACATTGATGTTTCTTTTTCTCTCTCTCTCCCTCTCCCTCTCTCCCTTCCACTCTCTCTAAAAATCAATGAAAAAAATTACCTCAGGTGCCAGTCTGGTGTGGCTCAGTGGATTGAGCATCAACCCATGGACTGAGAGGTCTAGGTTTGATTCCCGAACAGGGCACATGCCCAGGTTGTGGGCTCGATCCCCAGTGGGGGGGCATGTGGGAGGAGGAAGACTCATCAATGTTTCTCTCTTGCACGGATGTTTCTCTCTCTCTCCCTTGCTCTAAAAAATCAATAAAAACATAGTTTAAAAAAAAATTACCTTGGGTAACAATTAACAACAACAAAAAAAGTAAAGCCTGAGAAGAGTTCTGAAGGCTGGCTAAGGTTTTGAGAGCAGTTTTGAGGTGGGGTAGAAAGTGAATGTACTCGCCACTGCAGGCAAGGCATGGAGGCAGAAAGTCATAGGGAGAGCACAGGAAACTAATTAAGCCAATGAGGCTGGAGCTTAGGATACTTGAGAAAAGTGGATAAGGCTGGAAAAAAAAAACTAGCTAATTTGGCACTTTTTATAATCCTTACTCTCCCTTTGTCTGTGCTTCTTTGTATAAAAAGGTGTCATTTTTTTTAAGAGACTGTGATGATGGAATCAGAATTCTCCTCTATGAATTCTCCACTTATCTAACAAATACTAGAGAAGTATTCATAGTATTAGTGACCAGGTTTATACTCTTCTGTTACCTTGGTTCCCAGATGACTTGTCAGCCTCCGAGGAGCAGAGTGTGTGCTACTAGAACTTAAAACACTGGCTGTTTCATGATCCATTCGTGTAGTCGAACCCTAGAAATTAAGCAAATTATATAGTGTAATTTAGATTATAAGTAAATATAGCTAACTTCATGTTAAGTTACTCTTTAGGGTAAACAGCAAAGTATACCATTAAAAGCTTGAACACTATAATTGCTTAAAACAAATGTTTTTACCTATAAATTTATTAAGTAAATTATTATTATTATTATTATCCTCACCCGAGGACATTTTTGCATTTATCTTCAGATAGAGCGTGAGGGAGAGAGGGAGGAAGAGAGAGAGAAACAACGACGTGAGAGAGACACATCGACTGGTTGCCACCCACACAACCCCAACCGGGGCTGGGGACAAACTGCAACCGAGGTACATGCCCTTACGGAAACTGAACCTGGGACTCTGGTCCGCAGGCTGAAGCTCTAACCGCTGAACCAAACTGGCCAGGGTTATTAAGTAAATTTTAGAGAAAAAATGAAGAAAAGGAGATTTATTGCAAAAGACAATTAAACTACACCACAGAAGTAACCAAACACTGAAATAATTCTAGGAGTAGTATTTTTTCACAGATACAAAGGTATGCAACCACATGGGTAGTATTCATTAATGGCATCATTATCTACCCACGTATCCAAGCTCAGCACTTTCAAGTTGTTCTTGACTCCCAACATCTCTTTACTCACATTCAATCAATGCTTCTCTTTCTCTCTCTAATAAAAAATAGAAGTGCCAACTTGAGAGGTCTTTTTATGTCTCATATAAAAGCATGAAGACTTCCTTATGTTCATTCACATAGGAAAATCTAGGGTTAGAGTAAGAATATTAGTACAGAGTCCCAGAGTGGCTACCCTTTCCAATCTCTACTTCTGTTGTGGGTCTGAATGTTTTATCCTTCCAGGGATACTTTATAATCTGGAGCTGCTAGTTAGCACTCCTCAAGGCAGGGAGAAGGCACAGATGCTGGGGCCTTTTATAATGGTTGTTCAATTCATATGAAACCTAACAAAAACTATTTACTGAGCTTCTGCTACCTTCTAGGAACCGTGCTAGTCACTAGGGATACAATTGAAGACAGTTCCACCCTCACTACGAACAGTCTTGAGGGTAGGTCAACATGTAAATATACAGTGGTAAGTGCTTTGACAGAGGCTTTGTGAACACACAGGAAGGGCATATATTCAATGTTGGGAGTATAGGGAAGGCTTCTTAGAAAAAGTGCGATCTGAGTTTGAACTTGAACTACGAGGAGTTGTTTAGCCAACAAAAAGGAGGGCGATTAGCCATAGGGCAGCCTAGATGAGGCAGAAGCAGAAGCAAAGGTTGGAAAGAACATGGGGTGTGTGTGTGTGTGTGTGTGTGAGAGAGAGAGAGAGAGAGAGAGAGAGAGAGAATGAATGAATGAATGAATTCAGATCTTTCTTGGTCTACAGTGGAAGGGGAATGACTCCTTATTCTGAAGTAAGCATACCATTTGTATTTTTACTATTTGTGGTGGGTAAGCTCTAACACAACCCCTAATAATCCTTGTCTCTTGGTATTCATGCCTTTATGTAATCTCTTCCCATTGAGTAGGGGCTAGATTTAATGACTGACTTCTAGTGAACAGTATGAAAGTCACTGAGAAGACAATGTAACAAGGACTGTGGCTTCCATCTTGGGTACCTTCTCTGGTTCTCTCTGAGGGAAGCCAGCTACTATGTTGTGAACTGCCCTTTGGAGAGGCCAATGTGTCAAGAAACATATCTCTGGTCAACAGCCAGTGAGGACAGGAGGACTGACAATAGCCATATGAGTAATTTAGAAGCAGATCTTCCCCTAGTCAAGCTTTTAGATGCCTGGCCCCAGCCAACATCTTGACTGCATCCTTGTGAGAGACTCTCAACTAGGCACTCGGCTATAGAAACAAATAACCAATGTTTATTGTGTAAGCTGCTAAAGTTTCTTGTTTCAAGCTGCTATCTGTTAGGCAGCAATGAATAACTAACACACTATTTGAAACAAAAGAGAAACCAGGGGTTAAATATGAAACAAGGGAAAAACTATTTCCACAATAAAATGTTCCTGACATTCACCTCAGTGTAAATACCAAATCTTCTTTAAGCTTTAGTCTTAGTATCTCCCTGTCTCCAGTTCCTTGATTTTGGGACACTCCTCCTTCCCAGTATGTCTAGCTAGAAATCCAGATGCATTTATTATAAGACATCATTATTATAAGACATCAAGAGAACATTTCCATGGCGAAACTCACTGTTAAGTCTACAACTTGGGCCTCGAGGATCTATTCTGGCCCCTTTATTATTGGTTGACCTTAGCCAACATCTTTCAGAGACCAGTCTCTCTCTAATGCAAAAAATGGTAACTTCATAAGAAGTGTTCCCTACCCAACTCATGACTACATGTGATTAACTCCCACAACCTCAAGACCTATTAAAATCAGTCATGAGCCTTGGCCACTTTGGCTCAGCGGTTAGAGCCTCAGCCTGCGGTCCAGAGAGACCCAGTTTTGGTTCCCGCTAAGGACGCGTACCTCGGTTGCGGTTTGTCCCCGGCCCTGGTTGGTCGTGCGGGTGGCAGCCACTCAATGTGTCCCTTTCACGTCGATGTTTCTCTCTCTCTCTCCCTCCCTCCCTCCCTCCCTTCCTTCCACTCTACCTAAACAAAAAATGGAAAAATGTCCTCGGGTGAGGATAAAAAAATAATAAATAAAAAAATAAAATCTAAAATCAGTCATGATGCACATTCCTTAAATCAGCCTTGCTCACTGTCCAAAGATATAGGTTCTCTCTGTACCATTCCTGACTCTTGGCCCTCAAATGTGAGACCCTATTTCTCACTGTTCTCTTTCCTATCTAACCTTTGTGGAATGTGGGTTCCATGCTTTATAAGTACCACTACATTTTCAACTTTTTTTTTTAATTAAAAGATTTTTAAATTTTGATTTTTAAAGAGAGAGGAAGGGAGAGGGAGAGAGAGAAACGTCATGTGAAAATGGAACATGGATCAGCTGCCTCCCACATGCCTTCTACCAGGGATCAAGCCTGCAACCTGGGCATGTGCCCTGATGGGGAATCAAACCAGCAACCTTTCAGTGCATGGGATGATGCCAATCAAGTGAGCCATACCTGCCAGAGTGACATCCTCAACTTTTCACTTAATGCTCCCTTTATTCCAGGCCTTAATTGAAACCTAGCTCTCATAGGACATGACTTCCCCCTACAGCCCTTTCTCACATCCCACATTCTTCAGAGTCAGATGGTAGCATATGTCTGTTTTCCTCCCTCTTCAATACCAATTTGAAACCATTATTCCTCCACTTGCCTGTAATAGCCCCAAATCTTTTTTGTGTTATATTCACCTTTCCCCTTCCTCTATCTTCAACTCACCTCCCAGTCACTGTCCTCAATCATTAAATACTTTGGTACAAGGTTCACTAACTTTCTTTCACTCCAATTACTGCTATTATTCTGGGTAACTCCAACATTCATGCACATGGCCCATTCAAAACCCTAGCCCCTCAGTTCATTGATTGCATCTTCAATGACATTCTTCTCCTTTCCATTTTATCTACTGATATCCATGGCCATATTCTAACCATTTTCTATAACTCCAAAATACACCATCTCTGAATAATGCATTTATTTATTTATTCTGTTGTAACTCCAATAGCCTATTCATCTATCAGTCTCCTTTATCCTTTCCCAAGAAAGCTTCTTTGAAATGACTGGCATATCCAGTGTGTAGATCTCTCTATATACTCCAATTTGGATTTCTTGTGGTCTATCACTTCCATAATCCATCCTCTTGCTAGTTTTCAATAGTTCTGCAGCAGTAATTCTATCCCACCTACTGGGAAACACTGCAATTGTAGATGAATCCAAGTGTCTGTTTTCTCTACACCCTGATATGAACTCCTGAGAGGTATTTGAGAAATGTGAGCATGGAAGAAAATCACACAACACTCCAGCATGCTGCTCATATATCTGTGGTCACCAATACACTTGGGTCCTTAGTATTGCACCTGCAACCCTTGAATATTCCTAGCTAGCTCTCCTATATTTCTTCATAGTGGCTATTTTAGACAAGCCTAGTTCTACACAAATGGTGGCACTTCTCCTTCCTTTACCACAAATAATTTTACTTTGTAATTTACAGAGAAATAGAAGCTTGGACACACTTAAAGACCTGAAGAAGTTGAGCTGAGAGAGTGGAGAGAAACAGGGCAAACAGAAATACTGCTGGAAGAGCAGGTAACATAAAGAATCTAAATACTATTCTATGGGTGGTGGTTAGCCACTGAATTGTTTAAAGAAATAAGTGACATGATCAGATTTGTGTTTTAGAAAGATCACCCTGATTATAATTTGAGGAATATACTAGAAAAGGCAAGGTTGAAGATTAAAACAAGTTAGATTTCAATATAAACAGATGTAATTTGTCATTTTTAACATTTATATGGATGTACCATTTAAGTTCCATGACACTAGGGACTGTCTTTTTCAATTCTCGATTTCCAGAGTCTAACACATTATCTGGCACAAAATATTTATTTATTTATTTTTTTGGTATGTGCTCCTAGCGGGGGCCAAACCCAAGACTCTCTGGTCCGCAGGCTTGATGCTCCAACCGCTGAGCCAAACCGGCCAGGGCAAAATATTTATTTCTTTAAAAACTGCTCTGGCCGGTGTGGCTGTTGGTTGCAGCGTTGTTCATGAATCGAAGGGTCACAGTTTGATTCCCGGCCATGGCACATCCCAGGTTGCGGGTTTGATCCTCTGGTTAGGGCACATACAGGAGGCAACCGATCAATGTTTCTCACATCAATGTTTCTTTCTCTCTCCATCTCCCCCTCTCTCTAAAATCAATTACAAAAAAAAAAACTACTACTACTTTTTTTTTTTTCGAAAAAATTTTTTTTTTTAGATAGACTGGGAGGGAGAGAGAGGAAGAGAGAGAGAGAGAGAGAGAGAGAGAGAGAGAGAGAGAGAGAGAGAAACACTGATGTGAAAGGGACACATCAAGTGGCTGCCTCCCGCACGACCCAACCAGGGCCAGGAACAAACTGCAACCAAGGTACATGCCCTAAGCGGGAACCGAACCCGGTTCTCTCTGGACCGCAGGCCGATGCTCTAACCACTGAACATTACTAATTATTTTAAATCCTCGCCTGAGGATATTTTTCCATTGATTTTCAGAAAGTGTGTGTGAGAAAGAGAGACACTAATGTGACAGACACATCGATCAGTGGCTTCCTGCAAGACCCCGACCAGGGCCAGAACAAACCGCAACTGAGGTACATGCCCTTGACTGAAATAGAACCTGAGACTCTTTGGTCTGCAAGCCAACACTCTAACCGCTGGGCAAAATCGGCCAGGGCCTATTACTAGTTATTAACAACGATGTTACCTTTAATGAGTATTTACTATATGCTAGGGACTATGTTAAGTACATATTGCCACTTAATTCTCATAATTATATCATCTTATTTTATGAAGTGGAAACACTAAAACTCAGAATTTATGTGAGTTTCATCTCTTAGCTAGTTAGTAGAGAAGTGGGATTTAACTCTGGGTCTGCTGCCTCCAGAGCCACGTGATCGGTTATTCACAGTTGACTGAAAATTTAACTATTTATTGATTAATGTACATTCAGGTTCTTTCTATTTTTGCTATTATAAATAATATGATGAATCTCTTTAAATAGGTAAGCACTCTTGTGTGGTTGCCTCATTAATGTAAAATCTTAGATGCTGCAATTATGAGCCACAGAGCTGGCACATTATAAGTTTAGATACATATTACAAAACTGATCTTCAGAAAGGCTGTTCCATTTCACAACCTTTCACACAAATAGGCAGTATGTGAGAATGCCTGTTAACCACTACCAACACTGAGTGTTACTGATCTTTGCCAACAAAATGGTCTCCATAAATCTTATTTTGGTTGTAGTTTATAGGTATATATCATTACTAATGAAATTAATAAGCTTTTTGTTTTTTTTCCAAATCCTCACTGGAGAGTATTTTTTCATTGACTCTTTTAGATAGAGTGGAAGGCAGGAAGGGAGGAAGAAAGAGAGAGAGAGAGAGAGAGAGAGAGAGAGAGAAACATCCATGTGTCCACATTGATTGGTTGTCTCCTACAAGATCCCAACCAGGGCCAGAGGTCATATCTGCAACCTAGGCACATGCCCTTGAACGGGAATCAAACCCATGAGGATCCTTGGGTCCATAGGCTGACATTCTAACTGCTGAGCCAAACTGGTCAGGGCAAAATTGACAATCTTTTCACATGTTAAAAGTCATTTCTATTTCCTTTTAATTCCTGTTCATGTTGTTTGCCCATGTTTTAAGTTTTTAAATACTCTTTATATATTTTGAATTTTAACTTTTTCTGTGTTATAAGTATTTATAAATAATGTGATCCTAGCCCTGGCTGGTTTGGCTCAGCAGTTGAAGCATCGGCCTGCAGTCCAGAAAGACCCAGGTTCGGTTCCCGCTAAGGGCATGTATCTCGGTTGCAGTTTGTTCCCGGCCCTGGATGGGTCGTGCGGGTGGCAGCCACTCGATGTGTCCCTTTCACGTTGATATTTCTCTCTCTCTCTCTTCCTCTCTTTCCCTCCCACTCTATCTGAACAAAAAATGGAAAAATGTCCTCGGGTGAGGATAAAAAAAAAAATGTGATCCTAGTTTTTGTTTGCTGTGTAACGTTGCTATGATTTTATGGCACTGAAGTTTTACATTATGTGAAATCTACTAATCCTTTTTTGTTTTTATGGTTTCCTACCTATTTCATGATTACAAAAATTCTATCCACATTTTCTTTTAATGTTTTAATATTTTCAATAGTTTTCATTTTTGACATTAAATCTAATTTACTTAAGCCCAGCAGGTGTGGCTCAGTGACTGAGCGTTGACCCATGTACCCAGAGGTCGCTGGTTCAACTCTTGGTCAGGGCACAGGCCCAGGTTGTGGGCCAAATCCCCAGTGGGAGGCATGCAGGAGGCGGCCAGTTGATGTTCTCTCTCATCGATGTTTCTATCTCTCTCTCCCTCTCTTCCTCTCTTTCTAAAAATCAATAAAGAAAAACACAAAACAAATTAATTTACTTAGAATTAATTCTGACAAAAAAAGTGTGATAAGGATTCAATTATTACTCTTTTAAATGGATACCCAGATTATTAGATAGGTAAGGCTTTAAAGTATATAATAATTGGAGTACGGTACAAAGCACCAGTGATAAGTCTAATCTCAAGCAGAGAATTTTTTTCTGTCAAGAAAGAACTTTACTTCTTTCCACATATGTGTAGAAACATGTAAGCTTCCCAAAGAATTCCCTAACCAACAGACAAATAACTCAAATGTGCTATTTAAATATAATTTCTTTTGCACAAATTTACTATCCATAACTTAGTTATCCCCACTGCAATGCTAACTAGTAATACTAAAATGAAGTCTCTCTACGATTTAACTTAATAAATTTAAATACTTAAGCATGAGACATTTTAATGGAATAAAAGCATGCTTTTTAAATAAAAATATCAAAAGTAAGCTATAGACATTAAAGAAATAGTTCATATCAACAGTAGAAAAATTACCTTAAAACTTAGTGAAATTCTTTTTTTTTAATCATTCATGACTAGCATAAAAATATTCATCCAAACAATATGGAGCACACAGAACACCCCAAAGAAAAATTCTGTCATATTAGAACACATCAAATAAAAGTAACAGAAAATTGATGGCAGCACAATAAGACAATAGCTCTCTCTCTCTCTATATATATAATCAAGTTGACTTCCACAATGTTGATAAAAATATGATAATAGTTAAACATGACTAGGCTGTGTCTCTTTACTTTTTATGAGCATTAGAGTCATCTTTTCAAAGATAAGACTTGGGATTTTTAGATTTATGTAATCTTGAAGTATAAGAGAACACAAGAACTACAACAAAGTACTTATGATCATTTTTTAAAAACATAAAAATATCTTTGCAAAGAATTCTTTAGAGAAAGAGCAAACCTATTCAATGCAAGCAATAACTAGGTCAAATCACGCATATAACCAAAATACAGCTTAGTATTTATTTTTCAAAAAACTCTACTCATAACCAATCATTTTAGACTAAAACAGAAACACACAAGTTAGACTATAAATTAGACTTAGAAATTTGAAAACATTATTGCTAGATGTAATAAAGAAAAATGATAGTATTTTGGTACCAAATTCTTCTGAAAATATCCATTCAGGACTAAGAAAACGTAAACAAGATTTACAGATCATTTTGAGAATCATCTCATATTTCTTTGAAAATATTTAAATAGTTAACTTAAAAACATAATTTATTTACCTGACCACTACCAGAAGTTGCCATGTTGATTTCTGCCACTCCTTGACCTTCATTCTGCCGCTCAGCTTCATGTAAGCCAGGTTCATGTTTGCTCTGAGATGACCTCTGTTAATATGGAGTTAACATCATTACATACAAAAACAGAGCACACTTTTTTTTAGCTCACAGTTTTTTTCCTTTCTTGTTTTAAAAGTCTGAATGCATCAATTATACAGGTTTACAAAAGCATGGAACTGCAGTTCAGTCTTCAAAACCTCCAGCATGGTTGGCAGTCGAGAGGAAAGTGAAGTGTGTCCCTTGAGCATTAGAGCTGCACAAGACAAAGGATTTTCTGAGACTCACAGAAACACCATCCTCCACCAGCTGTGCTCACATCACTATCAGGAGTATAACCCAACTAGAACAAATAACTGTCTTTTCTGCAAGGTCACATGATTCGGGCATTTAATGGTGCTGTAAATATAACACTTAAACTATTACCAAAGCTTATAAATACCTTCTGTGTAAGTATACTTATACATAGAACATATATACATGCTAATAAAAATCATATGAAAAAAACAGATAAGCCCTTAGATTCTGATAGAAACTAAAAACCTTTTCTAATGTAACCACCATCTGTTATATGAAATGAAAATGACAGATTATATCCAGTAAAAGCAGTCATTTAAAGATAGATTATGCCCAGTAAAAAGCAGTCACTTTGTAAAAACAACACTGCAGAATCAAAGAAAATAATCTTCCCATTATTTTTTTTATAGAAACAATTACAAATGTGATTACTCTAGGAAAATGACACTCTAAAATAAAAGTACTTTGAAAAATGTGACATAATAGTGGATATCTTACAAAATGGCTATCACTGGAACTTCATTTGCATTTGATCTTCTGTTCATCCTCTATTCCTATCCCTCTTCCTAAAACTCCTATTTATTCGTCAGATCTCAGTTCAAATAGCACTTCCTAAGGAGGTCTCTTCCAAACTCCGAGACCATATGACTCTTTCTGTTACATATTCTTATAATACCTTATACCCTTCTCTTTTAGAGCATTTGTCAAAGTCTTAACTTTATAGTTATTTCTCTCATTATTTGATTGATAGTGTCCCTGACTGGACTGACTGTAAGCTCTAAGAGTGTAGAGAACAAGACAAAGCTTCTTCAAGCTTTCCTAGACCATTTAAAATGTGACTTGAAAATTAATTTACATGCAACATTTCCATCAATAAACTAATATAGTTATATGTAGGCTAAAAGTGAGGTAGCCCCAATAATTCAGAAATAGAAGAAAAAATAGTACCATCTGAAAATCACACTATAAAATTTAACAAAATCAACAAAAGTAGAAACATCAAACAAAATCAATCTAGAAACAAAATGAATCAAAACCCATGGAAACCACAAAGATTTGACAGTAACATCACTGAAGATGTCAACATAAAAGTAATTACTGAGCATCTGTTATGTTAGTTACTTCCATTATGTGATAAGGAATACAGTGCTAGTAAAATCAGACATTGTTCTCTACACTCTTAGAGCTTACAGTCAGTCCAGTCAGGGACACTATCAATCAAATAATGAGAGAAATAACTATAAAGTTAAGACTTTGACAAATGCTCTAAAAGAGAAGGGTATAAGGTATTATAAGAATATGTAACAGAAAGAGTCATATGGTCTCGGAGTTTGGAAGAGACCTCCTTAGGAAGTGCTATTTGAACTGAGATCTGACGAATAAATAGGAGTTTTAGGAAGAGGGATAGGAATAGAGGATGAACAGAAGATCAAATGCAAAGAAGCTGAGGTGGAAGGAAGCATGGCTTGTTTTAGCACATCAGAGAATCATGGTATGGAGAGTAGAACAAAAAGAGTAAAATAATCTTACTGATTTTAGTGAGATTCTCAGCGCTCTTTACCACACATAATTAATACTAGGATATTAATGAGAAAAGTTGCATGTAAATTAATTTTTAAAGTCAATTATTATTATTACTTTAAGTGTTTTTATTGATTTCAGAGACAGGAAGGGAGAGGGAGAGAGAGATAGAAACATCATTAATAGAGAAACATGGATTGGCTGCCTCCTGCATGCCCCCTACTGGGGATGGAACCCAAATCCCGGGCATGTGCCCTGACAAGAAATCAAACTGGTGACCTCCTGGTGCATGGGTTGATGCTCAGCCACTCAGCCATGCCGGATGGGCTAAAGTCAATTTTTAAATGGTGTAAGTAAATAGGAAAAAGGAGATCAGTTTGGAGGCTAATGTATTAATATAAGTGTGAGATGGTGGTACTTTGAACTGGGAAAGCAGTGATAGAGATAAACCAAGTGGAGATACAGAGGTAAATCTGAAGGCCTTGATGACAGACTGGATATGGTGACTGAAGAAAGAGATCTGGTGTCAATAATTACTCCTATGGCCCTGGCTGGTTTGGTTCAGCGGTTAGAGCTTCGGCCTGCAGTTCAGAGAGACTGGGGTTCCATTCCTGCTAAGGGCACATACCTCGGTTGCAGTTTGTCCCCGGCCCTGCCTGGTTGGGTCGTGCAGGAGGCAGCCACTCGATGTGTCCCTTTCACATCGATGTTTCTCTCTCTCTCTTTCTCTCTCTCTCTCTGAACAAAAAATGGAAAAATGTCCTCAGGTGAGGATAAAAAAAAAAATTACTCCTATGTTCCTTAGCTCACACAGTTGAATAATGATGATGTTAATCAGAGACAAGTAATAACTTAATGAGGATAAGGGTTTTCTGAAGGAGGTGGGTGGTAAGCAAGGCTTACGAAGAGATCATTTATTATGTTTTAGGTGTATGCTGAATTTAAAGTGCCTTTGAGTCACCTAAGTGGAGATGCAGAGTAGGCACGTATTATTTAGCAGTCTGGAGTTCAGGGCTAGAAAAATGAATTTGAGATGGTAACTGAAGCCCTAAGCACAAATGCTTAGGGAGAGACAATACACAGAAAAGAAAAATAAGCCTTAAGGAATGCCTATAATAAATACCACATAAAGGAACATGAACCTTTAAAGGCAAAAGAGGTGGGATGAAACCAAAAAAGTATTGTCATAGATGCCAAGAGAAGAATATTTCAAACAACAGGAAGTATTCAATAATGTGAAAAGTGTCAAGATGAAGACTGAAATGTCAATTTAACAATATAAAAGTCACTGATGGTCCATGTTAGTGAAACTATGGGAGCAGAAATTAGAGTGGCTTGCACTCAGTGAGTGGTGGGGAGAACAGGTAGACTTGGAATCTATATATATCTTTGGAGTGAGGACTGGGAAAAGATAATGAGGGAGGAAGGGGACAGATGAAGAGAGTTGCAGGGAGAGGTGGGACTGAGGAAGGTTCATTTTATTTATTTATTAAAAAAATTTTTTTTTCCCTTTATTGATTTTTAGAGAAAGAGGAAGGGAGAGGGAGAGAGAGAAACATCAATGAGAAAAAACACTGATTGGCCGCCTCCAGCATACCCCCCACTGGGGATTTGGCCCACAACCTGGGCATGTGCCCTGCCCAGGAATTGAACTGGTGACCTCTTTTTCTTTTTTTTTTTATCCTCACCCGAGGACATTTTTCCATTTTTTGTTCAGATAGAGTGGGAGGGAGAGAGAGGACGAGAGAGAGAGAGAAAAACATCAATGTGAAAGGGACACATCGAGTGGTTGCCACCCGCACGACCAACCAGGGCCGGGGACAAACTGCAACCGAGGTACATGCCCTTAGTGGGAACCGAACCCGGGTCTCTCTGGTACGCAGGCTGACGCTCTAACCGCTGAGCCAAACCAGTCAGGGCGTGACCTCTTGACGCATAGGTTGACGCTCAACAACTGAGGCACACAGGCTGGGCTCGTTTTATATGTATATTTTAAACTCATATTTATTGTTGAATGCATTACAGATATTTCTCCCTTTTTTCCCCATTGACCCCCTCCTCCCCATTCCCGCCCCCTCCTGCCTTCCCCACAGTATTGTCGGTATCCATCCGTTGTGCATATATACATAAAAGTTCTTTGGTTTATCTCATCCCACCCTCCTTCCCCCTTTCCCTTTGAGGTTCACCAGTCTAACCACCAATTTGTACTTCTTAATTCCTTCATCTTTTTCACCCATCCCCCCAGCTCTCTCCCATCAGGCAAGCAACAAAAATTTCTTTGTATCTATGAGTCTGTTTCTGTTCCGTTTGCTCATTTTGTTTGTGGATTCAATTGTTGATAGGTATGTATTAATTGCCATTTTATTGTTGATATTTTTCTTCTTCTTCGCCTTCAAGAAGACCCTTGAACATTTCATATAATAATGGTTTGGTGGAGATGAACACCTTTAGCTTTTTCTTGTCTGGGAAACTCTTGATATGGCCATCGATTCTAAATGATAGCTTTGCCGGATAGAGTAATCTTGGTTGTAGGTCATTGCTTTCATCACCCTGAATATTTCTTGCCACTCCTTTCTGGCCTGCAAAGTTTCTTTTGAGAAATCAGCTGACAGTCTTATGGGAGCTCCTATGTAGGTAACAAACTGCTTTTCTCTTGCTGCTTTTAAGATTCTCTTTGAAGTTAACCTTTGGCATTTTGATGACGATGTGTCTTAGTGTGGACCTCTTTGGGTTCATCTTGTTTGGGACTCTCTGTACTTCCTGGACTTGCATGTCTGTTTCCTTCACCAAGTTAGTAAAGTTTTCTGTTGTTATTGTTTCAAATAGTTTTTCAATTTCTTGATCTCTCTTCTCCTTCAGGCACCCCATATGATACGAATGTTGGCATGTTTTAAGTTGTCCCAGAAGCTCCTTACACTATCCTCATTTTTTTGGATTCTTTTTTCCTTTTGCTGTTCTAGTTGGGTGTTTTCTGCTTCCTTATATTCCAAATTGAGGGTTTGCTTCCTGGCTTTACCTACTCTACTATTGATTTCCTGTAAATTATTCTTTATTTCAGTTAGTGTGTCCTTCATTTCAGACTGGCCCTTTTTTATGTTGTTGATGTTCTCACTAAGATCCTCAGAGGTCTCCTAAAGTTCCTTGAAGGTGTCACTAAGTCCCTTGGATGTCTCACCAAGTTTCCTGATCAACCTTATATCCTGTGTTCTGAACTCTGCATCTGGTAGATTGCT